TATGGGTAAAATAGTTAATGTTTTGCCTCCCTAGGAAACATGTTTTCGAAAAACCTTCTTGTCTTTTATAAATTCTGACAGACTTGCACATTTGAAAGTAAAGATTATTTTAATAAAGTTAGCTGCCATTTTGGAAACATTTAGATAGTGTGAACCCCCTAACAGAGTGCTTCAAGGAGGGCAGTGCCAGACGGTTCACAATGAAATACCTCGACCCCTCCATTCTCGCTACCTTTTTTATCAAAAGCCCTGGAGGGAGTAGTCTACGCCCAGCTGCAGTCTTTTTTTAACCATGCATGGAATCCATGAAAAGTTTCAGTCTGGCTTCAAACCCATGCACAGCACTGAAACAGCCCTTTTAAGAGTTTTTTAATGATCTGCTCCTAGCCGCCGACTCAGGTAGCCCAGCTGTCTTGGTGCTGTTAGACCTGACAGCTGCCTTTGACACTGTGGACCATAGCATCCTGCTGTCACGGCTTGAACAGTCCGCTGGCATCACAGGCTCTGCCCTTGCATGGTTCAGGTCCTACCTGACAGACCGTAGCTTCTCGGTACAGCTAGGTGCCTTCTCCTCTGCCAAAGCCCCTCTTACCTGTGGGGTTCCCCAAGGCTCGATTCTGGGCCCCATCCTTTTTCTACTGTACATACTGCCCCTAGGTTCAATTCTCACAAAACATAATACTCCCTTCCACTGCTACGCCGACGATGTACAGATCTATCTGCCTCTCAAAGCAAATGTCAAACACTCACTACAGCAGTTGATGGACTGCTTAACAGAGATAAAATCCTGGCTGAGCAAAAACTTTCTCAACCTCAACGAGAGCAAGACTGAGGTCATCTTTTTTGGACCCCAACCACCAGCCTCTCCGGTTGATATTCTGGGCTCTCTCAAAAAAAACATCCTCCCCTCGGTCATGAACCTTGGAGTGACCTTCACTAGCACTTTTAAATTCGACAAGCAGGTCAGCACCGTAGTCAAATCCTGCTTTTTTAAAATAAGACTATTGGCCAAAACCAAGTCGTATGTATCTTTTAATGACCTAGAAAGGGTTATTAACGCCTTTGTAACCTCGAGACTGGACTATTGCAACGCTCTGTATGTGGGTATGGACCAGGCCTCAATTAAACGCCTGCAGCTAGTCCAAAACGCAGCTGCACGTTTGCTGACTGGCCACAAAAAGCGTGACCACATCACCCCAATTCTGGCCTCACTACACTGGCTTCCAGTTCGGTTCAGAATTGATTTTAAAATCCTTTTATTTGTTTTTAAAGCACTAAATGGGCTGGCTCCGGCCTATATAGCTGAACTCCTCCAGCGCTACACCCCAGCCAGAGCTTTAAGGTCTGCTGACCAGCTGCTGCTGGTAGTGCCCAAGACCAGGCTTAAAGGGCCCATGTCATGGCCATTTCCACTGATCATAATTACATTGTTGAGGTATACTAAAATAGATTTATACTGTGCAATTTTCCAAACTCACATTGGTTTCGCATACAGCATCTCTGTCAAGCATGTGTATTCAGCAGTATTCACTTTCTCCACTAAACGACTCGTTGGAGCTCTTGCCCCCCCCTCCCTGTGAGCCTAGTGTGCTCCGATTGGTCAGCTCGGCCACTCTGTTCTGATTAGTCAACCACCAGAGAGGCTCCGCCCGCTTTTTTCGGGGAACATCAGTGTAATGGTACAGCTGATATTTTATACTAACTAACCGAACTGAACCTACAACTGTTGTTATAGAAGAGTGTGACGGCCCCAGGGCCTTTGTGCAGGTGTGTTGCAGGGCTTACGGTGGGGTGGAGCTGAAGAGGGTAATCAGCGCGATCACGGACACCTCCGTAGCCGGTGCTATTAATCCCAGCGGCCCGGAGTCTCTCTCCAAAGCGGCTGCAGAAGGACAAACTGAGCGACCCTCTCCCCTCGACCACCTATCTCTGCATTTACCACAATAAATGTGCCGTGGTTTTGTAAACTCGAGTATGTCTCCTTGCCTTTCCGTTGTGGCCTACGAGCCGACATAACAAAGAGTAAGTTATTTTTACCTGTAATAAACTACTACTGTTTGATCAGAAATCAAATCATGGTTTGCTAATATATGAATTCAGGGAAGAAAGGATAGGCCTACTAAGTATTTCCATTAAACTTTATTTTTAGAAATGTACAAAATGAACATAAATATACATATATACACACGGTATATCATCCATTCCTCCTCCTCTTGCCTGCGCACAGCCGGTGCGGTGCGGTGCCTTTTAGCACGAGGCCTCAGTAGTAGTAGAAGTCCCGTCCCCGTCATGGATTGTCCGCCAGGATCTGGCTGGACGAAATCAAATGCAAATCACAAAATATTAGAGAAACTTAGTTGTTTTAGATTCGTTAGTAGTAGTTGTGTAATGAACAGCTTGCCTGCTAATATGCTAACCTAGCTTTGTTTACCTTGGTAGCTAACACGATATGAACGTTAGCTTGGAGGAAAGGCAACTATAATGCAGTGTAATAAAACTACTATGAACAAAAGCTAGTGGTTCATATTAGGCTAGCAATAACGTGTTTATAATTGCAATCGTATACGGGTATTCTGCTACCATACAATGTAACTTGCATGAATACATTGTTTTGCGCTAGCATACAGCTAGCCTCGTTAGCTACATGCAGTATATGTACTGTCACAATGTACGGTAAATCACCCGGACTATACTGTATGAGTATTCCGTGTGTGTGACTGCAGACATTCTCCTGCCATGACAAACATGTAAGGCCATCTGCTGACATTGTAGTTGATATATTTAAACGCTAGCAACGTAGCATCACAAAAATGTTTTTCCGACCAAATCTAGCTCTAGCTCCGTGTGTTAGATCGGTTGCATACACGCTACGCCAGCTATAATGTAATTACGTTTCGCGACTGACCGCACGGCAAATCACCCGGAGTATACTGTCAATAGGTATTTTGTGTGTGAATGCAGACATTCTCCTGCTATGAGATACATGTATGCAAGGCCATCTGCTGATATTAGAGTTGATATATGGAAACTCTAGCAACTTAGTTAGCACAGTTAGCACTGTGTCAATGGCTTAGCAGTCCAACACAGTTTACACATTTAAACAGTCTTGTTTGATAAATACACAAATAACAATGCAAACTTACAGGTTGTATACCCGGATCTTCCCCTGCTCCAAACGGTCCAAACAAGCTGTGCATATCCGGCCTCAAACTGGGCAATGTTTTGGAAGCTTTCGTCTGTGAAATGCCGGTTCTTCGAACCTCTGGAGGAGGAACACGCCGCTGCTGGTGTGGCCATAGCTCTTCGGGATTGGTCCATTTCGTTCCGGGTACCGCATGACATCAGGCGGTACCCGGAAGAATCAAATGGGCAGTGATGTATCTCCAACGAGGCGTTTTGGGGAGGTATTTTCTGTGTTAGAGTTTTACTCGCTACAGGGTGTACTTTGAGGGTTTTGACTCTGCACACCGTTTACATGCATAAAAACCTTCATAACACACAAGGGGACGGGTAATAACCGGAAAAGCATGACATGGGAGCTTTAAAACTCGAGGGCACCGAGCCTTCGCAGCAGCTGGCCCTAGGCTCTGGAACACTCTGCCCCTCCATGTGAGGTCGGCCCAGACCCTAGGGGTTTTTAAATCTACACTAAAAACACACTTCTTCTCTCTGGCTTTCTAGTTAGAGCGGAGCACGACTCCTGACTTTTCCTTGTGTTTTTTTTTAATTTTTTATATGAATTGTATAAATAACTGTGAACATGATGCCATGTCGACATGGGGAATTATCTTAAAGCACTGCTGTTGCCTGAAGTCTACTTCCACTGAGAGGGAAATTGCCAATATTCTCTGAATTGCTGTGACTTAAAGTCACTTCCAATCCTGGAACATTTAATTTATTGATTTTCAGCGCATGCAATGAAATCATCTTTGAAAGTTAACCACATAGTATGAGTCATAGGCTTTGAAACAAATATGTTACGATAAGATTTGTCGCCAGCCCTTCAACTTTGTCCATTTGAACAGTGACCCCTGTTGGAGGGGACTGTTGAGATGATCAAATAGGACCACAAAACACAGGACTGAAGAAAAGTGGTTCCAGTTTTCCAGCAGTCAGTTCATCTTCCAGTGAGTTTGACAACCTGTGATAAGACTTTAAAGTTGTGTGTGCTCTACTTACATTCCCTTTGGAGGATGTGTGTGTGTGTGTGTGTGTGTGTGTGTGTGTGTGTGTGTGTGTGTGTGTGTGTGTGTGTGTGTGTGTGTGTGTGTGTGTGTGTGTGTGTGTGTTTATTTTAATTAAACATCATGGCTCACTTGTGTAGGAGAAATGTGAACATATGTTTATAGCTGTTGTTTTTATTGTTCTCTTGTTTCTTATGAGTGGAATTAGTTTATAGGCACATGGCTTCATTTTTTTATCGTTTCCCTTTTTAATTTGTAACGTTATTCCCTTTGGTTTTGGTTTTTATACTCTTAAGCTGCTGTAACAAGTATGTTTGACCGTGGGGAATAATTCAAACTCGTATTTTATCCTACATTACTTGATCTATTTCAATTGAATCTCATCCGAAGGACACTGAGCTGGGACGTCTGATAAAAGTCCTCTACAAAGTAGCAACATAAAGTTGAATAACATTGTGCTGCTTTCTCAGATAGAATATCTATGGATGATTCAGTGATCTATATGAATCACATCCAGCACAGGAACATATTATTTATCAACCTGAACATGCACCACTTTACCAGGAACTTTTATTCTCAGAACGTCTTTGTTTTTTTCTTCTTAAAACTGTTCATGGTTTATGAACCAACACCTCCACCAAGTGGCTTTACAGTGAACTGCATGTGGGATATAAAAACTGTACATAATGTGTTTTTGGTCATGAATAGCATCTTTTCAGTCAAATTAATTATACACTTGTTCAATACAAGTCACTACAGCATTTCAAACTGAACTGTGAATAAATGCAATGGAAAAAAAGAACCACAGCACAAAACTTAGAGCTTTACATTTTTATAAGACTTATAAAAAAAGAAAAAACATAACACATTAATAACCAAGGCATGTCATACATTGTGTTTTTTCTTTGTTTCTCTGAGGATTATTTACAAACAGGCTTATTTACATATAGCAATAACTCAGAAATGAAAAAGCTACATCGTCTAGCACGAACAACCAGTTAGCATAATGATAATATATTTGTTATGTACAATGTAACTGGCAAGGCTAGAGCAAGAAAGAACATAAACAAGTCTGCAAAAGGTTTAAATAACTTCAAGTATCTGTCTTCAGATTTCATGGAGGTTTTAGTCCAATGGGAAGCAGATTTTAAGCGACACCGAAGATAAACCAAAAATGTGGTGGAGCTGCAAACCGTGTAGTGTTGCTGGGACAGGACAGGAGGAGCTATAACCGATGGAAAGGACATCACAGACAATGCAATAAACGTGGAGACAGAACAATCACGTCTGTGATAAATGCCCACTTATTAATAAACTTCTAACACAACCATGGGAAATCTCCTCTCTACATATAAAGTGATATCCAGCTTATTGGCCTATAGCACCTTTTTTACTGCTTTGAATAACAAATGTGCAACAGGCAGAAAAAAGACAAAAACAAAAGGAAACAACTGTTCCTCTGGGGAAAATGAGTCGAATGCAACAGGTTTCCAAACAGTCCTCATGTTCCTGGACTTTGTATTTGAACAAAACATCTTAGGTATCCAAAAGTAACTTCACAACATTCTGCGGCCGTTTAATTGTCTCTCTAATGAAACTCTGCGTTCCACTTTAAATTTAAACTTCATAAAAACTGCAATACAGCAACTCATTCCTCCACAAGTACCTTACATGTAAATGATGGTCCAAATATAATAAAACCATTGTCAGAACTACAGTCAGTTGTATAAGAAGATCTGGTTAGTCTTAGCAGTAGTATTGCCTACTCTAGTTATATAGTCACTATTAAGAAACATGTGGCCCCAGCACGGGCCATTTGTCCTATTAACGTCTCCAAGCGCATGGAACACTAATGCTACTTCACGACGTTCAGCAACACTGTGAGGCTCCACTGCCTCCTTTGATTACATTTCATTTTAGTGTATGCGTTTTGGAAGGAGATAAAGAAATTGTCCATGTACAACAAATCACGAGCAAGTGTCATGGTCTCTGAAGTCCCCCAACGCAAGTCTCAAACGGGACCCGTCACAGTGCTCCGCTTTTGACAAGTCCCTCAAACGAGGAGCATTGTGTAGACTCTAGTGTCATTTTTTAAGACCTTAAAGTAGAGCAGCAAAAAAAGTGAATTCAGATTTCTGTTCTTGTGTGGCTCAAATAAAAAAACGCCATCATGTGTCAAATGAAAAAGCTGTGTCAGAACCAAACCGGGCTACGAGAAGTGAAACTTTTAGGACCGTCCTCTCAAGACTAGTGCATTTCCTGGGGAGCAGGGTACCATTTGAGAATCTGCTCTGATGCCTCCCCGAACCCTCTCTCCTCTCAGCAGACAATGAGGGCCAGGGGCTCGATTTCCCGACGCTGGTTTTTCTTCAGCAGCTGAATGCGATTGTGGCAGTAGAACTTGATGGCCCTCCAGTCGCGGTGGTTGCTGACCAGCAGGGGGCACTGCTGCAGGCAGCGCTCGCAGTCAGCCTTCGCGGGGACCCGGAGATCCGTGATGTTCTGGGTGAGGTGCTCCTCGACCGCAGCCCGCTCCGCCTCTGACCAGGGACGCTTCAGGACGCCTCGCTTTCCTACACAGGAGAGATGAGAGGAAACTTGAACATGTGTGTCAACAGCTTCTGTCATTTTACACGATGCAAGTGATACCTCTCATTGACCCCCACCACTGCTCACAGTCTACATATATATATATATATAAATCACTTTAAGATCTGCTTTTTAGATTCCTGCATAGTTTCCTAATACACATTATCATCAGTCTTTTTTACAGAGACACCTCACAGTGTTTTATGACTTGCCACTTGGCCACTTGACCTTGAGTTCAGATGTTTCGTAGATTTGGTTTAACTACAGTAGATCAACCAGCTAGCCATTTAAAGTTAATTTAACTACTATACGCTATAGTTTTATTTATGACTTAGCATTGTTATAGTATAATATGTCATTTAAAAAGTCATAGAGTCAAAAGTCAAAGTATAGTGTGTCATAAAAACTATATTTGTATTACTTTTTTCCACACACAAATATATTATTCTATTATTTTCCACTTTTTTCAACATTATAATTTGTATTGAGTCTATTTTGGGGTTATTTGGACATAAATGCAGTGTACATTTAAATATCACATGTACTTTATATTTATTTACATTCCTTTGTTTTGGTAAATCATTATTTGGCAACTACACCTATTATTAAAACCTTTACAAACCTGATTTGGGCTGTCCTGAGTCCCGGCTGTGGTGTGTGGAGGAAGGTGGAGCAGATGGAAGGGCTGGCTGGCTGTTCTTCAGCTTCTTAGGTCGGCCCACCCGCCCGTTGTTCTTGCCCTTCCTGACATACAGCAGGGTAGGTGTAGGGGTGGGAGCAGGAGCAGGGGCAGGGGCAGGGGGGGTTGCCTCGGGCTTCTCCTTCGTCTGCTCCCCTTCAGACTCTCCCTCCGAGTACGAGTCTGCAGAGTTTCCTGACATTACTGGAGAGGAGGCGAGAAGGTAGAAGAAAAATCTGTCACTGCTCTGCTTCTTCCTTAACAAACAGCTTGTCAACACACAGAAAAACATCCTTCAAAACTGGAAGAAAGTTTGCAATCCTTTTCCAGCCGGGGGATGTTTGACACCATGAAGGAAGGGAAGAGACAGCGTGTTTTGGACAACAGAAACAGACACATTCAATTAGAAAAACTCACCGTCCAGTTCCAGGCAGATGTGGTTCAGGCTCATTCCTCTGAAGAGAACTCCATCTCTCTCTCCGCAGAGCACCACTCTGCCCACTCTGCCCATCAGGCCTGGGTCTTGTCCAATTCCAGCACAGTTCTGTGTCACATGGTACTCCCTCTCCAGGAAGTGCTCCAGCCTCTCCACAGCGCTGCCTCCAGGCTGCCCGGGCTCCTCTCCTTCTCCCAGGAGCAGCAGCTGCGTCAGGATGGCGACCTGCCGGCGGACCCTGGTCTGGGTCAGGGCTCGGGGGTTGCGGGTGCCACTCGAGCGGGCCAGGCTGCGGAGGAGGTCGGTGCCTCGCAGCGGCGTGGCGGGGGAGTGGTATGGCCTGGCGAAGACATACGGGTTTGCGGGGTCGACTCCCACTTCCTGCCGCGTCTGCAGGAGGAGCTCCAGGCAGGGCTCGCAGTGAGGCGGGAGGATGAGGGGCTGGACTCTTCCTCGTTTACCCTGGACCCCGACTCTGGGGAGGTGGGGAAGCACCAGACGCTCGAAGGGGGACAGGGAGGCCTCTAAGGGAGTGAGAGCAGGAGGGGCCCCCGGTGGGACAGGAACCGGGCACTGGGGAGTGATGCGAGCGTGGTATTCTGTGATGGAAAGCTTGGAGACCTCACACTCACGCCGGCGGTTGTACAGGATGAGCAGAGCCAGGCTGGAGTGGCACAGCAGGCGCCAGGCCTCGGCCGACTGCAGCTGCCGGGACAGGGACAGGAAGGCAGAGTGCTGCAGCCGCCGGAGGTACAGCACCAGAGAGGACAAGGACGAGAGGAGGGGCAGCATGTGGTGACGCCCCGAACCACTGGAGGAAGAGAGGTGGTGAACATGAGGTTAGTTATTCATTCTTATAGTGTTAGTTCAAATAACTTGGAACAACTTAATGGTTTGTTACAGTATCCTACAGTCTAACTGTCAATGTTTTAAAGTACGAGCTAACATGTAGCAACAGAGTCCGGCAAGTATTAGAGGGGAAATATTAGATGATATCTGTGCAAATAACAACTATTTTGATGACTATTTTGATGACATTATCTGCAACTGTTCTAATAATTCAATGATAACCTTTATAAACCAAAATGTGGATCACTTGTTTAAGCATGCGAAATTTGAGAATTTGATGGGTTTTTTTGTAAAACATTTATTTGGGTTTTGGACTGTTGGTTGGACAATTCATTTTGTAAACAAAGTGATGTGTTATAAAATAATCATCCTACAGATTTGCTCACAAAGCAGGAAAAGTCGTAAAGTTACCTCATCAAATCCTTGTCCTTCTCGTCTGTCCCACTTTCATCTTCCACCTCCATCACTCCATTCTCCTCCTCTTCTTCCTCCTCCTCCTCCTCCTCTTCTTTTGGTGGCTCCATCTCTTTGGCCAAATTGCTGATGAAGTGCTGAGGGCACACCAGCTCAAGATCTTCCTCCTCCTCCTTGGGCCTCTTTATCTCCACGACCTCCACATCATCTTCATCTTCCTCCTCCTCTATCTCTCCCTCCTCCCCCTGTCTTTCCGTCTCCATCATCCCCATTGATCCCCTCCTGGACTGCGTCACAGCCACAGGGGGGGGGGCTTCTTTTCAGCACGGACACCAGCACGGCGCTCTGTCCTTGTGGAGGAGTCAGCACCGGAGGGGTGGAGTTTCTCCCAGAGGAGGCAGGGGATTGGTTAGCTGCTGTGAGAGTGGGCGGAGGCATGGAGAGGTCCTGGGCGCCAATCTGCGGAAGTTCTGAACTCTGTCTTTCGCTCTGTGGCGACGGAGAGTGTGTGTGAGCGGTGGGAGGGTTTGTGCTCTGTGGGTGCAGACGGGGCATTTGTGTGTAGCGCTCCACGAGGGCGGAGCACACTTCTGGTTGGTGGGCATGGTGTTTATCCAAGTGGCGACCCAGGGAGCGGAAGTGACGTCCGCAGTGCTCGCAGGTTTGCCGCATGGCGTCTATGGACACGCCTCTGGGGGCGTTTGCGCTGATGATGCCTTTGGTGATAGAGCCATGTGGAGCCGGAGCTTTGAACACAGGCTTAGCAGAAGAGGAGGAGGGAGGGGAGGACTGCGCTGGAGGGTGGGATGAAGAAAGCGGGCGGTTGTGAGGAGGAATGCTGTTGGGCGAAGCCAGCGAAGACCGCCCGGCTAGTGTCCGATGGGGGGTCTTTTTCTTTGAAGGGGTGTTGCGCCGCTTCTTGCGCCGCTGTTGTGCCCGGCCGCGGGGGCTGGCGTTGTCTTCTTCTACAGAGTCTGAGTCACTGGCGTCAGAGTGGGAGATGGGGGAGGAGGAGGGGGAGAGGGACCATGAGGGGGTGACATACTCCTGCTGCTGCTGCCGATGCTGGGCTGACACGGAGAGAGGCTCCTCCTCCTGGAAGTGAGACAGAGAGAAAGGGAAGTGAAAAAAAGAACATGTCACCTGATGTCCGGAGGTGTTTTTAAAGGTCCCCTATTATACTGTTTTTCATCAATATATTATAGGTCTCAGATAATATACAAAACATGTCTCTGAAGTGTTTGGCTCGAAATACCAAACAGATCATGCATTGTAGCATCCCATAATCCCCTCTGTTTCAGCCCTGTTTCAAAAGTGCTGATTCTCTGTTTGTTACTTTAGATGAAAATAAGGAGCCACTCCCAACGCCCAGATATTTATGCGAGATATTTGGTTAAAAATAACACAATGATGCTGTAGGAGGATATTCAGGTGATCAGGTGGTGGGGGTTACCTTGGTTGGTTGTTGGCTAATGGTTACACAAGCCAAACACTCGTTATGACATCATAAAGTGTCCAAAATGTGATCAGCTCATTTTCAGACAGGTTTTTATAGAAATGGACCAGGACAAAAAGTGAGAGAATCTTTTTTCCTGAAACTTTCAGAATCTCTTTACACAGACCTAAACATGAAAAAGTGGGTTTTGCATAATAGGTGACCTTTAAAGTATTCATAGAGTGTTCAATGCAAAAACTAACATAATACAAAATATATCATAAAATACTTTTTCAATATATTTTCTTTTTCTTTTTCTTATTTGAATCCAGATTTGTGTTCCTGAAGTCTGGTCCCTGATTCCCACAGTGGTCAATGTAAACCCTCTTTAAACTAACTGCCCACCATGCTACAAACTGGATCAGTGTAATTAGATGCACAGTCGGGAGAGTTGTTTCATTTTAAAGCAATAAGCAAAAATGTATCACCGGCTAGAGAATCAGTGGTGTTTATTGCATTTGTCGGCACAGCATGTGTGGCAAACAGCAGACAGCATAAGCATGGTTACTTACTGTATGCTGCTTTACTATAATGAGTTAAAGCTGATGATATGTTGAATCATTATTACACATAATAAAACAATTATCCAGAACAGGGGGAGTAAAACTGTATTATAATGATTATGTTGAGTCCAACATTAGTGTTGTCCACCCACATCCAGACAGGTGGCATCCTGCAGGCACTGTGGCGCATTACAACCGCATCTACATTTACTCACTGATATTCAGTTTGTTCAGAATCAGTGCTGCTTTTTACAGCACAGTGATAGGGAGTAATAGTTGTGAGAAGCTTACTGCATAGCATAATTCATTATCAAATGCAATGCATGTATTCACTATATTTAAAATAGTCTCTTAAACAGTGTAGGTTGATTCTTTTGAAAACAGAAATAAATGTAGTTTAGTTGACCTCCAAATACCGCTGTTTTAATAGAGTGACAATCACAGATTTTATTTTCTGATGAAGATGGAAAGTTTCCAAAGCAACCAAATATCTCAAGTTGAAGTTGTGTCTTAAAATTATATTTATTTGTGGCTACTTTGCTACAATGACATGATCATTATCTGAATATCATGAATATGGGGAACTAGTTAAAAGCTCATTATGTTCACCAGCTGATCACTAACTTTGTCTACTGTTTAGAAGAGAGCAGGTTGTGTACAATTAATAGAGTTCATTGCCTAGTTGTCACTTCTTAAATTAGTAAAACTGATGTTTTAGAATAGAATAGGAGGGATGAAACCCTCTTTAATGGTCACACATGCAGAGCACACAGCACACACAGTGAAATTTGGCCTCTGCTTTTAACCCATCCTAGTACCAGGAGTCTAGTACTAGGAGCAGTCAGTTTGTCAGTTTGTCAGTCTAACTGTGCTTTTAGGGAAAAGTGTGTTTTCTCTTACCTTTTTGATATTATTGTTATTCTCACTGTCGGAGATACACTCGTCTTGTGCTGGAGACGCAGGACCACGGAAACTCTGTGGGACACAAAGCAGTCACGTTAAAACCAGCACACTGTTAGTTACTGTTGCTATCAGCCTCAGCTGTCAATCAGAGAGCAGGACGACACCCGTCCACTGCAGGTCATCAGCACAGAGGACCATAAGGACTCAAACTCACTGACAAACCAAACAAACAGGAACATATTGGATATTCTCAAACACTGTGTGAACACATTGCTTAAGGTTGGAATACATTGAAACGTTGTCACTTTCCGCCCCCTAGTGTTTCTATGTGGTATTATTGTTGGTGAAGCTGTCATAAAGTGAACCTGACTGCTTTCATTTTTTTTTCAGAGCCTATTGATTTAGCGACACATTTAGCAACTTTCAGACCATTAGAGGAAAAAGCCAAGATTAACTTCAAATATATTATATTATGTTTTACTCCTAATGCGCTCAGAGTAATCACAGTCCACAGCTCCTCTGCCTGCAGCCAAATCATATTTTTAGGACTAAACAATATTCAAATAAGCGTATGACGTTGTCAGGACACATTTTATTTTCCTCAGTTGCTCCATTTCCACTACTTGAGGTAGTTACTGCACTGATACCGTTAGGGGTTAGGGGATAGCGGCCTCAGGTGGAAAACAAAGTGCTATATTCTTCATGTTTTGATTGAGAATCGCTTGACACACTTCCTTTATCCCGTTAACTGAGTCTATATTTTCCCAGGAGTTCATACCAGCTGGCAGACAGAAATGTTTTAGGGAAACAATGTGAACTCTGATAGCGTCATTATCCTACAACCATTACTGTGTATAATCACCATTTAGTCCATACTGATGGATCAAACCAAAAAACATGTCTGCTCCAACTTTAACATATAATTATATGGCTGTGAGCAACCGAGACCTCACCTCAACCTCTGCTGTCAATTTCATTTCCTTAAACGGATTCTCTTATCATCATTTTGTTGAGAAAATTGATCCGATGAAGTGACATCCATTAAAGGAGCAGATGTCTTGGCATAACCATGGTTACTGTTGCTAAAGCACTATAGGTAGAGTGAGAAGTGGAGCTCAACCATCACCATGGTAACCCCATGCCTTGCTTAGTGTGTGCAGCTGTCTGTGTGCGTGTGCGCGTGTGTGTGTGGGTGTGTGTGTGTGTGTGGTGTGTGTGTGTGTGTGTGTGGGTGTATGTGTCTGTGTGTGTGTGTGTGTGTGTGTGTGTGTGTGGTGTGTTGTGTGTTGTGTGTATGTGTCTGTGTGTGTGTGTGTGTGTTGTGTGTGTGTGTGTGTGTTGTGTGTGTGTGTGTGTGTGTGTGTGTGTTGTGTGTGTGTGTGTGTGTGTGAAGCTGATCAGCAGTGTGTGAAAGCACATACGGTTGTGTACCTGAAGTTATCAGACATAAGGAGTGTGTAAAATGTATTTTGATACTTGATGTAGTAGACAAGGACAGACAGGTGAACAAAAGTGAGATTATTTCTTGGCCGAAGTTGCAGGTTTTGGATCAGAATTAACAAAAGTTTAGAGTTGAGCTTCAAATTAGTTAACCAATGGGTTTAAGTTTAGGTAAGATTTAGAACAAATTTAAATAAGTGCGAGAGCTTACATGTAGCTCTGCTTAATCAGAAACATAATGTCTTGTGGATGGATTGTGTTCAGGTCTATTGAGGCTTCCATTTGTGTAAAATGGTGAGTCAGGTTTGATTTTCAATTTCAACACTTGATTTTTTATGAAATTATGTAAAAAATGTTCTCCAACTTCTTTACACTAGCTGCACAGGAAATATCAGAGGGTTTTTCAGGTTGTCTACGTATATCTTAATCTATCAGCAAGAACAATCTAAATGCACGACACGTCACAAAACAGCAGGTTTAAAAGTCTACTTTGTTGTGTCGTGACATTTCAGAGACATGTGTTTGTGTGTGGTGTGTGTATCAGTTTTCAAAGGCACGTACCAGGTTCTCCCCCCACTCCGTCAGGCTATAGTCCACAGTGATCTCCTCCCCCTTGGTGATGTCTCGGATGGCAATGACCACCAGACGCACCTGGCTGCCACAGTGGACCTCTCGGATGCGGCAGTTAGGAGAGGGGGGGTACGGGCTGGTTGTTGGGGCCGGAGCAGAGGCGGTGGGTGCTGCCGGGGCCGTGGAGGCGGGGGACAGAGAGGGGGCCGGTGCGGGGGGTGCAGAGGAGGCCGCAGCAGCTGGGGTAGACGCAGAGCAGGAGCCGGTCCGGAGTCCGGAGGAGACTTTATCATGAGTCTGAGCTGATGGAGAGCTGGAGGTGAGGAGAAAGGTTAGATTCACCACCTTCATCAGACAATATAATGCAGTTGTTTTTTTATTCATTCATTGTTGGAGTCATTAATCTGACAAAAAGGTTATTTATTTATCCTAGTGTTTTTTTCTTTCTTTTCTGTTATACTTTATTGTAAATTCAAAGATATTTGTTTAGTTTTTTACACTTCTTTGTATTCTTGTTAAGGAGATTTGACATTGGGATCTGGAAAATGTGGAGGTTTTTTTTTGCATGAATGATTCATAACTTATTCAGAAAAATAATGAATTATAATAATAATAATAATAATAATAATAATAATAATAATAATAATAGATTTATTTTGTTAGCGCTTTTACAGGTGCTCAAAGTCGCTTTACAAAGATAGTGAAAAGAAAAGAACAACAAATAAATATAGTTAAAGTCAAATTAAAATCAAGCAACACAAAAACAATCACACATTAAAAGCCAGATTGAAGAGGTGAGCTTTTGTGAGTTTTTTGAAGGTGGTGAGGTGAGTGCAGTCTCTGATGGGTTGTGGGAGTGAGTTCCAGAGGGAGGGGGCAGCGACGCATCATGTCCGGTGATTGATGCGGGTGGGGATGGATAGAGGTTGGCTTCTGAT